GTTTTTTTTTTCAAAATTTTTTTTTTTAAATTTTTTTTTTGGAAAAAAATATAAAAAAATTCTTTAAAGCTATCTTCATCGTTATTTTTAAAATTTTCAGAAATAACTCCGAATTTTTTGATGAATAACATTTTTAGTTTTTTTTTTCTTTTTCTCATTCTAAACTTTGACATTTTTTACAGATATTATGAAATTTCCAGAAAGGTGTTTTTCCGATTTTTATTTTTTCTTTTCAATTAAAAAAAAAATTTTTTTTCTTTTGTCGTATTTTTCATAACATCGGTCCAAAAATTTACGGGAATCCTCGAATTTTTTTCCAAAAAGAACATTTACTAACAAAAATTTTGAAAAAAAAACGTCCCGATAAGCCAATTTTTGAAAAAGTTATGGCAATTTAAAAATAAAAAAGCGGTTTTTTTGAAAAATTCGGAACTTTTTTTTGGTTGGGTAAAAAAATTTGAAAAAATTATGAGAGACGTTTTTGATAGGGTAGAAAAGGATGGTAAACTTTCAGCCAAATCAAAAGGGGTCAGGGTCAAAAGTGGTCGATTTGGCGTGGAAATCCCCATATATTTTATATAAAAATTTAGATATAATCATATATAATTATATATAATTTTATATATTCTATACATATTCATATATAAATATATATGATTAGGCAAATTCATTTTTTCCCGGGAGTAGTTGAACACTCTGGGAGCAGTAGTTGAACTAATAAAATATATGGCAATAGGCACACCAAAAATTTTAAACGTTTTATTGAAATATAAAAAGAAATATAACATATTATAGAATAATATTAAAAATAATTCTGTGAATATTCAATATGTTCATTTCAAAATGAGAAATATTTGTATTTAATTTTTTAATTACATTTTTTATGAATGGCAAAGCAAATTTCCAATTATAAATCAATAAAACTCAATTCAAAACGTTCAATAATTTTTAACTACACTAATTTTTAGTCATAAAACTTATTTGAATTGCAAAAATTAACACAAATCACAATACTGATCACTAGTCTATAAACCTATTAGAGGTTATAGTGCTGTTAAAATTATACGCGTATATTTTTAGCCCCGGGAAAAAATGATCAGACCTGATCAGACATGAACAGGCATGAGTCTTCAGGCCTGATTAGACATGAAAAATGACCATGCCTGATCAGGCATGAATTGACCTGATCAGGCCTGATCAGACATGGTCAGGTCTGAAAGCCCATTGTTACTTTTAATTAATTATTTTGCTTAATTTTATGGATATAGTATTTGATAGAGTCATACGCAATTCTCTATAATGAATTAAAATAAAAAAAAATGATTACATATAATTGTACGGCTGTAACACCAGCAGTCACCCATCCAACTACTAACCACGCTCAATACTGTTTAACTTTGGTGATATCCGTGCGCCTTGAAGTTCCCGCCTGCTGTGCTGCTATCTTAAGTGATAACAAATTTATGAAGTACATAACGTATCGAATAAGTTTATCATAAATATAATATAAAAATTGATTTTATAATATATATTGTGATAGTCCTAATTCATTTATTTAACCGAATCTCATTATAACATCACATTTATTTAAATAATAAAATAAGTAATGATACACAGATTCGGTAGAAGCAGAGCAGACTGAAACATCCAATAGGAAATGTAACAAATTTTTTATTCCAAAATTATTTAAACGTAAGGATAAAAATAATTTTGCACATTTTGTGATGACCAAAAAAATTTTTTTCGTCAAAGAAAAAATTTTTATCACATCTCTGACTATGCAAGTCTGATCAGATCTATGGTATATTCTATACCCGGAAAAAAATGATCAGACCTGACCATGAAATCGTTAAGAAAAAAAAATTAGTTTTTTTCTTTACAAAAAGATATAAAATAAAAAAATTAAAAATTCCAAGTAACCGATATGATTGTATATGATTTTCCGAAATTAGAAAAAATTTTGTTGTAAATTTAAAAATTAAAAAAAAAATTTTGGAACGTACTTGGTGTGCGTCATTGTGTATTTCAATTTTTATAAAGTCCTAGTAAATAGAATTCACGAATTTCATTAAAAGTAAAATATTTTGCAACCACGCACACTAAATAAGAGAGATTGATTGATTGATTGATTGATTGATTGATTGATTGATTCATAGTTTATTCATGCCAAGGCACAAGCCAAATGGCAATATTCAATTATAATAGGTACATAATTTTTACATATTAAATATTAATATTGCAAGTACATAAACTAAAATTAATTCTAAACATTTTACTAACTATTTTAGCGATATTAAACAAATTTTAAATCTTATCTGATTCAACAAATAACTCTAAATTCTAAATAACATTTCAAATATAGAGAAATATTAAGGTAAATTTCACAATAATTGAGAGCATTAATGGTGATCAAGAGATTTTTCAATTATCCAAATTTAATAAATGGTCAAAAATTTTATTTTTAAACACCTCCAAACTGCTTGAGTTCTCTCTTTCTTTTTAATTTGTGGCTCGAACCGCTAGGTTCATTTAGCCGTTGTATGTGGTATCTTAAGAATGGAGCTTGTGGCAGATGGATTTCACTTTATTTTTACTTCTTGATGGAACCGCGAGGTTGGTTTGAATATTGTGTGTTTAGAGATGGAGCTATATGTTAACTTTGGACTTGCGGATAAAGTTGTATAGTAGGTAGACGTGGCTAGGAGCGGGATTTTTGAGAATAAGATGTAAGTCAATAGGAGGTTTGGAATTGAGTTTTTCTAGCGCTTTGACTAGGGCTGGGCGATGTACACTGTGTAAAGGACAGTTCCAGAAGAAATGGTCTAGATCCTGAGATGTATGTCCACAATCACAAACAGGGGTTTCAGCTAGGTTTTTCCTGTAGGCACTGGCGTTGAGATTATAGTGGTTTAATCGCATTCGGCAAAAGGTTGTGATTGCTGGTCTGATGATGTCTACTTTCCTGAACCATGGCTTACTAAAGTTTTCGTAGTAATGTTGAAAGTATTGTTTACCTTTAAATCTGCTATTTAGTCTTAGAAGTTTATTCACAGATGATTTAACTATATCAGAAAAGTGCATGTAAAGGTCGGTGTACGGAATTTTTGTTTTTAAGGAAACGTTATTTAACATTGTAGCTTCTCTGGCAAGAAGGTCAGCTTCTTCGTTGCCTTGGATTCCTATATGACTTGGTATCCAGGTTAGTTTGATGACTAGGTTTTGTTGTTGGGCTTGATGAAGTTTGTTGAAAATCGAGGGAATGAAGTAGTTTTTGGAGTTAGCTGGGTCCGAACCGATTAGTGTTTGCAGAGCACTAAGGGAGTCTGTGAAGATAACTGAAGATTGAATTTGTTGATTTGAGATTATGTCTATCGTTTTACTTATGGCAAGGCATTCGGCGGTGAAGATTGAAGAGAATTTATTTATGGCGTATGATAGATTTAAGTTTAGCTGGGGACAGTGGATGCCTATTCCCACATGTTGATCTTTTGTGGTTTTTGAGCCATCGGTGAAGAACAAGGTCTCCGCTCTGTGATGCTTGTTGACAAATTCGATGAATTTCTTTTGAACTGTTTTATTAGCTATTGTTTTAAAATTTATACCTGATGTAATGTCGATTTTTGGTGTGTATAGTCTGATTGTATAAGGGTATTGGTATGCTGTTGGGAGACGGTGAGAGTGAATTATTGATTCAAAGTTTTTTAGTTTTTTAAAGGCTTTCAAGAGGGGAAATTAGCATTGTAAATTTGGGCTTCTTTTTTTCTTGTTTAATATGTCAGAGAGTTTGTCCAATTCTTGAGTAATGGTTGAATTTTCTAATGAGAAAGCTTTTAGTATATATCTGTTGGTAAGTTCGTCGAAACGTAGTTTGATTGGAGTAAGACCGGTTTCAGCAGTTAGAGAATTAATTGGAGTAGAGATTCTAGCCCCAATGGCGAAACGCATACCTGCATTTTGGATTTTGTTGAGTTTATCCATTTGTGTGTGATTTGATGTATTGAAGATGTGACAACCATATTCTAATTGACTCCTGATTAAGGACTTGTAAATGTTTAGCAGTAACATCGGGTCGGCACCCCACCAGGTACCTCTTAGAGCTTTGATGATGTCCAAAAGTTTCTTGGCACGAGTGATGATGTGTTTCAAGTGTGGTTTAAAACTGAGTTTATTATCCAGTTGGATACCTAATAGAGTAACTGTATTTGAAGGGTATATTTTCACGTTGTTTATTTTAATGTACAGGTTGTTGTTAGGGTTTGTATTTATATTTTTGTTGGTGAATATAATTATTTGAGTCTTGGTAGGTGATAGATTTAAGTTTCTTACTTTGAGATATCTGTGTATTCTATCAACTGATGCTTGTAATGCGTTAAAAGCAGTATAGAGATTTTCGTCTTCGCATTCAATTGTTAGATCATCTGCAAATTTTCTTAAAGTGCAAGAGGGAAGAATTTCGTGGATAAGATCAGATATATAAAAGTTAAAGAGGAATGTGCTTACCAGTCCTTGGCCAGTCCCAAGGTCCACGTCTACTGGTTCTGAGAGGGATCCATTTGTTACGAAGTGTAGCTTCCTGGTTGTGAGTATAAAGTTGAAGAATTTTATATACTCAGGTTGTAGATTAGTTTCGCTTAGTTTTTTGATGAGTATTTCTGGTACCACGTGATCGAAAGCACCTTCTATATCTAGGAGGGCTGTAACTAGATATTTATTTTTAATTCTTGTCTGGTAGATTTTGGTTGTTAGAATGGCTAGATTATCCCAACAGCTTCTTGTTTTCCGAAAGCCATATTGTTCGTTTGGGATGATGTTGAAGTTCTCTGCCCACCAGTTTACTCTGTTCATTATCATTTTTTCGTAGATTTTTAGAATACAAGAAGCAAGAGATATTGGACGATATTTACCTAGGTTATTTTTCGGAAGCAGGAAAACCAGAATTTTGCTCCATGATGATGGGTAGTTCCCTGATGTGAAGAAAATATTAAAGCATTTAACTAGAGTTTCAATAATTGATTTTGGTAGTTTTTTTAATATTTCATAAGAAATTTGGTCGAGACCCGGGCTAGAGTTGTTTTTAGAGTTTTTAATTATTCCTGTTAGCTCTTCTAGTTCAAATGGTTCATTCATGAAGTGTAGGTTATGGTTTATGTTGTCAGCTGTGTCATTTTCTTGGTCTGAATCTAAGTAATTTAGTGATAATATATAATCAGTGGTTTCTTGAGATAACGAGGATATAGAGCTATTTTGACAAAACGAATTTATGTATTCTTTCCTGTATATTTCGTCCTGGGTATTTTGTGTGGGAAGTAGTGTAGGTGTATTCAGATTTTTATTTTCGAAAGATTTGATTCTATTCCAAATTACCTGCGTCGGTGTTTGTCTATTGAATGATTCGCAGAAGGACTTCCATCCTGCTTTTTTTTCCCTTTTTAGTATTCTTTTCGTGTGAGCCTCTTGTTGCTTCATTTTTAAAAAGTCTTGATATGATCCTGTTAATTTGAATGTTTTATATGCTCCTTTTCTTTGGGAAATAGCATCAGCACATTTTTGTGTCCACCATGGAGCTGGAGTGTGCTTTCTAGATTTAATTTTTGTTGGTTTGTTGTTATTTTGCTGTTGGCTGTTTGATTGTCCTTTTGGTAGGTTTTGGGATTCGATAGCCTGCGTGATTGTGCAAATTAGTTTATTATACGTTGTTATGGCGTCAGGGAGATTTGAAGAGATCTCTTCTAATTTGTTTTCTAAGTGGTCTTGAAAGTCATCCCAGTTTATGTTTTTGAGGTTAAATCTGTGTTTGAAAGTATTGTGGGGTTCAGGGTTTACGTTTATAGATAAAAGTATTGGATAGTGATCACTACCCATGGCATCTTCAGCTACTTTCCAAGAGCAGAGCGTGGCTATACTATCAGATACTAAAGTGAGGTCTATTGCAGATTTGTTTTCATCAAGGTTAACGTTCCTCGTTGGAGAGCCATCATTTAAGATGATTAGGTCATTTTCGAAGGAGAAATCTACGACATTTGATCCGCTTAGGCAGTCATTATTGCAACCCCATGCTGTATGGTGTGAGTTGAAGTCCCCACCCAGTATGATTGGGTTATTGTTTGCGTTAGTGGTATCTATGATATTACTTAGATGAGTTTTCAGAAGAGTAAATGATGGATGTTTGTAAATATTTACTATACAAAGTTGACCGTGAGTGGTATTAATTTTGATAGCTAGAGTGTCAAGTTTGTTGTCAATGCAATATAAATTATCAGTTGTTGAAACTTTTATATGTTTGCTGATGCATATAGCAATACCACCGCCTTTTTCTAGAGTTAATCTGTCTTTTCTGATGATGTTGAAGTTTTTTAAAGTAAATTGGTTTTGTGGTTTTAGCCATGTTTCTGAAAGGATTAATAAGTCATAATTATGCATGATGTTTTCAAGATCCCCTTTTTTATTTAAAATACTGTGGCAGTTCCATTGAAAGATTTTTAAGCTTGATATTTGGTTATGAGCCATTATTCTTGTGAGAGATTTAAGCTCGATTGTGAGCCTGTGATTGCGTTAAATTCTTCAGTTGGACTATTATCTCCAGGGGATAGAGCTGTCTTTAGTAGATTACAGGATTTTTGAATGGTGGTAATTTGTTCTTTTACTCCAATTTCTTCCAATCGTGGAGCGAGTTTGTCACTAATTATTGTTAGTACGTTGGTGATTTGATTTAGTAGATTTACAATTAAATTTTGGCTGATTAACTCTGATTGATGGCCGGGGTTTTTTTGAACGGGAGTCAGGTTAGGTAGTGATGCAATTACTTGGGTTGAAGTTGTAGGTGATGATGTGGGACTAGTATTTAGGATTGATTTAGGAGGATTAGTGTGCAAGTACAAATTTTCTTGAGAATGATTAGTGAGAGTAGAGTTGGTGTATATTTTTGTGTGAAACTTACTATTTCTTTCTTGTTGGAATTGTTGGTTATTCCTATATTGGTCACTGTTTGTTTGAGCTGTAAGCTTCTGTGGTTTTTGTTGGTGAAGTGCAGCCGTAAATGATCTATTGGTTGTTTGAAAATGTCTAGTTTGATCTCAGAGATGTGTAGGCGGGTTTTGAATGGGTAAAATTGGTCTCTGGATGTGAGGGAAATCTGCAAGGTTGTAAGTGCTGGGTGCGACTGGTGTTTGGTTAAGGCTCTTGATTGCATCCTTGGCTTCTGAGTAGCTGATATTATTAATTGCTGCATAGTTGTGAATGTCTTTGAGATGAGCAAGAATTGGACAGATAGAGCTTAGGGATACATGATCTCCTTTACAATTTATGCATTTTGGAGGTGATTCGATAAGTGGACAGGTGGTTGGATCAGGATGATTTTCACGTGAGTTACCACAGTGATTACAGTTGGGTAAATCATTACATTCTTTGGCTGAATGGTTGAAACGTAGGCAGTTTGTACATCTTTTGACTGGAGAGGTGTATATATGAACTTTATGTATAGCATTGAAGATACTTACTTTGTTTGGACGAATTTGTCCTGCAAAGGTTATTTTGACGAACTTAGAAGGAACATATTTCTTTTCCTGGTTCTCTAATACTGCTCTTTGACATCTAGTTAGAGAGATGACTTCGACTATTGAGTTTAGTCCTTCTTTCAGGTCTTCCATTAGAAAATCGAGGGGAATATCTTTAATTATTCCATATCATACCATTCTGTGAGTTGGGATATAGGCTATGAGACCTCTGTTTTTGAAGTCTGGCTGATTTTTTAAATTGTTTGCAGCGTTTTTTGTGTGAAGAGTGATGGCAACTTTTTTACCAGCTTGTCTAGTGTTTTTAAGATTTTTTATTTCATTATTTTTTTTGAGAACTTCTGTGATAATTTTACATAGGGATAGATAATGAGTAGGAGCTCGTATTGGGCTGTCTGGATCTTGTTCAATTATTAGTTCATAGGGTCCTTTGTTATCTTCCAAGTAGATGTTGTCTGTTGGAAAAATAGCTTGAGTTAGATGTGGTGAGAGGCTTTTCTTTTTTGGGTTATAGTCGTCTTTAGCGTTTTCTCTTGGTCTTTTGTGGATATTTTCGTTGTTAGTATTTGTGTGAAGGGGTGGATATGTTTGGATCTCAATTGTATTGCCTATATCCATAGAATCATCGTAGGTAAGGTTGCAATACATATTTTGGTTATTTCCATTTGTGTCCATCGTGTCTAAAAGGTTTTGGACCGCTTGTTCACTTTCGAGTACTTTTTCTTGTTCAAAATCTTCGGTTTACGGTTTGTTATTCATGTTGATATTGGAATTAGAATTGAAATTAATGATTTGAGTATTTGTGTGTAGCTGTGAGGTAAATGAAGGGAAGTTAGGTCTATATCCGGGCATGGGGCCGAAGCCTCAGCCTTAGAAAGTATTTAAAAACACAGATTTTTATTTAAGTATACTGATTCGGCCTGATTTATAATAGAAATATTTTACTATTGACCTAATGAGGTCAATTTGTGTTGTTTTATTGATTAATTACTGAGATAAATTATAGAAAAGTAGACAGCAATGTGCCGAGATGTGCTCGCTTTGAGTGGTTAGGCTCGAATCCAACTGCTTGAGTTAACAATGTCGTCAGGTAGCTCCTCCCACGCTCTTATCACAGTAACTGTAAATGAGCGCTCTAAATAAGTAGTAGCAAAGTGAGGTAGTTTAAATACAGTGTGTTTTTTAGCTGGGCTCACTAAAGTTAGCCCCCCAAAAAAAATTTTTTTTTTATTTTTTAACTTTTTTTTTATTACATCGTTAGTTCGTTATTTGTTCTTTATTGTTCGCTATAAACATTCGTTTGTTCTCGATTTATTTATTTAAAAAAAAATCTTTCAAATATTTGCCCTAAAGTTAGCCCCCCTATCGCATTTATTAATATTTTTTTAGCAATACGGGTCAATAAACCTCTGTTTATGATTGTTCATGTATGAAAAACTTTTGTTCTCATTTCACTTTGTTTATTTTTTACTTAATTAATTATTTTTAATTACTTGAATATTTGTATTCTAAATATTCACACTGCGCATGCGTCAACTTTAGGCTTAAAAGATATCCATTACCATTAAATAATTTATTAAGAATGATAATTCTCATATCACATTCTATCACACTGATCTAATATAAATAATGATTAAAATAATAATTAGTATGTATTTCTTCAATCGAAATAATTGATGAAATATTTATGAGCAATGTTTACATTTTGTAAATCCTTAACCTATCTTTTTTTCTTAAGAGAAAAACAAACGTACAGTTTTTATAATAAATTTAATTTTAATTTTAAAGTATTAAAATTTTCTATGAAATTAAAAATAAAATGGAGATTTATTATTTATTTATTTGATGATGTCTATATATATACAGTGCGCGTCATTGATTCGTACCGGTTGAAAAATTTGAAGGTAAAATAGATAAATCAAAATTTCGACATCTGTAAATAAAGAAATCAATAAAAGGAAAATCTTTATAAGGATCAATTTGACCAAAATTGAAAAACTAACTTACTAAAAATAAATAACTCAAAATATCAATCACGATTAAAATAGAAATTAAAAATATTAGTAATTA